TGATTTAATCTAATTGTTTTTGTTAATTATATTAATTATTTTAATTTATTGTCTATATTTTAAATTAGAAAAGAGAATTAGTGGTTTCCATAATTATTTTAGTGATTTAATATAATTTCTTTTAACTAAATTGTGATTGGCCAAGAATTATTCAAAATAAAGGTACAATCTTGTTAACCACGTTTTTCCTCAAATAGAAGAAAACATGATCTGATCCAAACTAATTTGTTCGAAGTTTTTACTCAATGTTAAACCATTAACCCAAGAGAAACGGATATTAACCAAATTTTTGCATCAATGGCCTTATAATAAAGGTAAATGGTCAATATATAATTGACGAAGAGAGACCGAGGTAATCAGGCGATTGAAATTAGTGTTATATAAAATTATATCTCTTAGATCCAAATTTAAGCCGATGTTTAAATAATAGTAAAATAAATTTATGGTTGCCAAGAGATTATCAAGTGACGATTCCAATAATATTCAAAATTCTACACGTAACTTTAACTTGTTTTCTTGTATACTAATTAATCATCAAGAGGAGACGCAAGAGACGTTCAGAGATGCGAATGGGAAGTGTGTGGGAGCCACACTAATTTCATCTACTCTGTTTGCTACCTCATAAGGTTTGACCAACAATGGTACTTAATCTTTTCCATATGTCACTAATATTTTCCATTGATTACACATATAATATTTACTTACTCCTACCTCTATGGTTAAACTATTCACCGGCTTTAGGTATTTTATTCACTGGTTATCCGGTCATTGGAAGCCAAAACCGTATGATGTCGTCAGGATCATGTCTAGATAGCCTTCAAGATGGATTAATCACGGCGTGTGCGTGGGATTCACGTATAAATGGCGAATTTTTTCATCAAACAACTTTTAGTGTTCCTTTCACGCAAGTCAAAAGTTTTATCAACGACATCAAATCTCTTGTTAAGATTGAACCAAAATCTCTATTCGGCCTTGAGCTGCACTATGGTATTCTGATGCGATATGTCACATCATCTCCAGCTTATCTAGGGAAAGAAACCGAAGCCCTAGACTTTGACATAACTTATTACAGAGCGAAAGACCCATTAACACCACGACTCTATGAAGATTTTATTGAAGAAATCGAGCAAATTGCGTTGTTCAAGTATAAAGCATTGCCACATTGGGGTAAGAATAGAAACTTAGCGTTTGATGGAGTGATTAAAAAGTACAAGAATGCGCCGGCATTCTTGAAAGTAAAGGAAAGTTATGATCCGACCGGTTTATTCTCAAGCGAATGGACCGATCAGATCCTAGGGATCAAAGGAAACACAACAATAGTAAAAGATGGATGTGCATTAGAGGGTTTGTGTATATGTTCGAAGGATGCTCATTGTGCTCCTACCAAAGGATATTTGTGTTGACCGGGAAAAGTTTACGAAGAGGCTAGGGTTTGTACACGTGTCAGTGGCATAAGTACGGTTCAGTCAGCAAGTTATTAAACTTGGTTCTTGTATCTTAGCCATCGTTTAATAACTTATTATGATAAAACTTGGTCAATATTTATCATAATAAGTTATTTCCTATGTCCTATGTTGTCGTAATAATAATAATAGAGTATAGAAGGATCTAGAAGATCCAAGATATTATTAGTGAATATATTG